TGTCTGAAGATTCAGAAATAAGACTATTGATTGATTTTTAATGCAACCTTTAGATATTCTTTTAAATGCTTTACTAATGTGCCACAATAATGTAATGTTTGTGTTTAAATATCTTCACTCGGGGGCGCCCAGTTAGCTTAGTCGGTAGAGCTGGCGACCCATGTACGGAGTTGCTGCAGCAGCCCAGGGTTCGAATTCGACCTACGGCCCTTTCCTGCGTGTCATCCCCTCTCTCTTTCTGCCCCCATGTCCTGTCTATCTTCAGCTGTCACTATCAATAAAAATAATATATATAAATATATATATATATATATATATCTTCACTGGGGAGCTTTTCCAATTAAATATTAATATGTGATTGTTTTCTCTTAAATAAGCATATATTTCCACCACCTCATGTACATTTCTGTATATCGGCCACTGGTTCTGCTAAATATATCCTGTACATCAATAAAAATCTCTCACATAAATAATGTATCTGTCATGCATCTTCACTCAAACGTTGAAGAGTAATGGTTAAGTCCAAGGACAAAATGTATGTCATTCCACTTCCCAACAATGTTGAAAGAGACTAAATCTGATCACTAAAAACTCAGTGAGTTACTTCCACAGCCTTCCAGATATCAACGCTAGACCAACTTCCACATTTTTATCCAGTATTCATGAAGTGCTGCCAATAACATTTTGATCTGAGAGCTGTTTCACAAAAATTTTCCAGTCATCCAACGTTTCTGACCAATATACAATATTATATTGATTATACAATATTAAGAAACAGTGACATAAATTAGCCAATGGCTGGAATTCCCATTGCTCATTTTCTAAACCTCAACAAACTATTTCGAGTCATCACCCTTTAGAGACTGCTTCCCACTCCAGGTTGGATTAAAATGGACCTCAGGTCATCCATCAGTACTACCCATCTCAACAACCTGTCCAACCTGTTGGACCAATACTATTTACTTTATATATGCTCCCTTTAGGCAACATTATTAGGAATCACTCCATTAACTTTCATTGCTATGCAGATGATATGCAGTTATATCTATTGATCAAGCCCGATGAAATTAATCAATTATC